TAGCAAAGTACAATTCATGTAATTGTAGATGTCCCTTCTTGAATTTGGACCTTATATTTGTCCATATATGCCACATGCAAGAGTAGTGTTGCCTTCAGTATACTGTCATGCCTATCTGAAACAACACACATTGAAGGTCTTTCACCATATGCCTCCTTGAATTGCTCAAAGAACCACTTCCAAGACGCATCGTTTTCAGAATCAACGACAGCATATGCCAAGGGTAAAATAGTACCTACATTTTATAGACATAAAATATGATTAAATAACAACTACAATATATATTGATAATATAGACAATTTTACTACATTCTTTTATATAACTACAAAATGACTACAACATGACTACAACTAAACTGCATTATAAAAACTGTCTATAAAATAACTACAAAATTATTTCATTTTTTACCTGCTGCATCCATGGTGCTTGCTGTCAGCATAATCCCCCTATAGGCTGACTTTAAGAATGTCCCATCAACCACTACTATCGGCCTACAATATTGCCAACCATTTATTGATGTAAAAGAGCAACAAATGCGTATAAGAAGCAATCATCTGCTGCCTTCTTCAATTTAACAACAGAACCAGGATAATTCTTCTCAAAAATATAAAAATATTTGGGTAATTTGTTGTAGGAATCACACGGATTCCCTCTCAAAAACTGTAAAGCTTTTTCCTTTGCTCTCCATGCTTGCATGTAGCTTAGGTTCAGTCCATGTTCGGATAACATGTCAGTTTGTATGTCCTTTGGTGTGTAAACAGTCTTAGGATCACAATACTTTGGAACGACCATGCTACCAACTACTGCTGCAGTACGTTTGCGTTGTATGAATGTTTCGTCCATTAGGCAGCATGTGTGTTGTCGGCTGAAACTTCTTATCTTGAACATTGCCGAATCATTAATTGATGTTGCCTTGAAATGCCATTTACAGCTTTCAGCAACACATATAAGCTAGTAGCTACAAAAAAAATACAATATTTACACAAATTTATGAAAAACTACAATTAACTACAAACTGGCTACAATTTAACTACAATTTATAAAACTTACCTATGTTCAACAATACACTGATTTTGCTGATATATTATCCACAAATAACTACATACCTTCTATGACTTGATCTTTTTACTCTGAACTGGAACTTGTGCATGACTGAATAATTCCTCATTGCAGCAACTACTGTTTTCTTGTCCTGATAAACTTGTCCTTCTTCAATATATGTTTGCGTAGATTCAGTTATTATTTCACTTTGATATTCCTCTATAGCTGGTGAGGATGGAATTTCTAGTAACTTTAGGGATCCAGAAGAACCTGCAGACAATAAATTCATAAATGTAGTTTCTATGTAGATAATTTTTAAAGCAACATTGCTTTATCCTTTTCAGTAATATGTGAGATTTGTAGTTTAATTGTAGGTAATTGTAGTAATATTGTAGATAACATAGTAACACCATAACTCTCTGCAATGTCGAATCAAATATACCTGCACTGGTGCTTTCATTGATGATTGCCAATTCCATATTGAAATCTCTTACGGTTATACATAAAGGATACGAACCTAAGTTTTTATTCTCCTTTTTCGTTTCCATGTACACACGAACCCCCATATCATTCTTAATCTCCAATGGAGGACAATTCTCGTTCACAATGTATTTGATTTCTACAATTTTATCAGATGTATCAATCGATAATTGTTCTGCAATTGTAGAAATGAGAATTCCGTAGCTTGCATTATCATCAACCACAATGGCATCAACTTCAAAATCTCTAAATCTATCATAGTTATCCCAATTACCATTCGATTTCAGCATTATTGGGATTTTTGACATGATTTCGTGTAGTTGATAGAAAAAAAGACGAAGAACAGATATAATTTCGACAATTTGAGTACTGATGTCGACGAAGAACAATTTTGTATTCTACAATTTGTATTGCGTTGTAGAATTAGTAAAACCAATTTGATTACTGGAGCTTTAGTAGCTTGCGTTTTTTGAGAATTGTAGTCGAGTGAGAGAAGACAGATCTATTTCCGTTGAGGAAGGAGAGAATTACGCAGCAATAAGATCTCCTTCCGTTTCAAAATTCAATTTAATGTCCACATAATCACACGCAGATCTGGTGCCTTATTTTTAGCGCGCTTTTTATGGCAAAATATACCTATTTTTGGATTGGTATATATTTTGTAGAAAAAGTGTGGACTTCACGGGTAAATAACAAATTATAAACAATTTTGGTAATAAGGTTTCATATATGGCATAGATAGGTAAAAATCCTTTTTTTTAATTATATAGTTAGTTAGCTAATTGATTTCCTGAAGAAAGTGATTAATTTCCTATAACTATGGACTAGTTATTAACATAATGAGCCGCTTTTAGCTTGGATTTTAGTAGTTACATCAATCAATAGTATAAATTTTTATACTAAAAATGTATTTTATTAAGAGTTTCAATTTATACATACGGTTTTCGTGTAGTCTCTTTATACTATCAAGTTACCGATTATCTAAAGGATATCTGCAAGTCACCAATTATAATCTTGAAACTATAAGATAAGATACATACTACAACAGGTAAAAATGATTTGATGGTATAAATTTTTTTTACTTATATAATTAGTTATCGTGCTTTCTGTAGATCACCATTATAAACAGTTATTTCTAGCTAGTCTGCTTTAATTTTAAGCAACAAATTCTTTCTATTATTCGTGTATAAAAATTCAAAACAGCTAGCATTAACCTAATATAATTGAAGTTAATTCTGTATGCTCTTTAGTAGGAGTAGTAAAAGGGAGAATTCTTTTGGTCTTAATGACTTAATTATAATTTATAAGCTATATATATACAGGTTCGCTCTTAATTTGATTTCATCAACCACTTTAAACTGGTCTTTGTATGGCTTCTTTGAACGATTAGATTGACCAAAAAAATATTTAATTTTAGGTAGCCATTTCATTCGATGCGTCACTTCAATTATATAAATAGAACAAATGTAATTGGCTATGGTCGTAACTCTTTCTCTTTCTCCTATCTTTCAAAAACAATAATATTCGGATCAATTTATGCACATCTCAACTAATTAGTTACATACATATAATCTCTCACTAGTATTATAGGCCATGTCTCCGCTAATTTATATTTAGACAAAAAAAAAAAATTACTTAGTATTTTTTTTATCTTTTTATTAAAATTTAAGTCCTAGTGTCTCATTGGTCAATTTGTAATTATAATGTGCATATACATAACAAAGTATTCACATTAATAGGTAATGACTTTTCGGTAGTTTGATTCATAAATTTTTCCTATCATTTTCAATCACAAGATTCGATTCTGATAAATGTAGCATTACTTAAGCATCATTTTCTCGCCGTTCATGTTAATCCTTTTCTTTTTCTTTTTTCCTTTCTTTCATTATTTAATTTTTGATCTTTTTGAAACGTCGTACCATATATCAACGGAAAAAAGAAGGATGAAATCTCACTTATGACTTATGACAATAAGATTTACTAGAAATATCACGAGCTCATAATTATTGTTTGGAATATTATACCGGACTCCTGAGAGTTAATCATATGATCCTTGGATAATAAAAATATTTGGAAGAATTTAAATTATATATATGCACTAATAGTGTAATAATTATTTATATATTAGGTCTAATTTAAAAGGTAATACGATGTACTAACTTATAGTACTAATTGATAATCTTGATCGTAAGTAATCAGTGGCGGATCCAGAATTTTAAACTTATGGGTGCTCGCCTATAAAAATTCAAAAGAAGAGGAAGAGTGAGTTTATTTGTGGATGCTCACTCTATATTTAACTAACTATTTTTATAATTGTCTGTGTAAATTTACTAAATTTGATTACAAGTAATGGGTGCTCAAGCACCCATAAGGGTCCACGTACATCCGCCACTGTAAGTAATATTAAATTGCATTGATAACGCCATAAGTTTATTATATTATCGGTGTATAAACCTCAAATTCTATTTGAAATAATATCATTACCAAAGTGGATATAGGCTCTATTTTTTGGTATATAAAAATCTTGTAATAGCCTAAACTAGCCTGTTTGTGACCTTATTAATGAAGAGACTTTTCAACTCAGTGAAACACTTAGCAAATTAAGAGTCATAATATAGTACTCCATTTTTTAAATGAATTCTAAGAGGATATAGAGTTTCACTGAATAGATTAAATTCTTTAATTTATAGGGCTTTTATTTAAGATTAATAAAAGCTATAACTAATTACAAGAATAATAAAAAGGAGGGTCCAATAAATTAATTAATATTACACACGTGTTTAAAGAGGATGGAAGCGATAGCTTAGTCCCTACCTATAAAGCTTGGGGTTGGGGCTAGTCCGTGCTGAGCTCATTTATAAGCTCATTGAAGAGATCTTGTGACAAGCTTAATAAATGGTCTTTGATGTAAAATACTATAGACCGATAAGTATATTATTTATGTTTTTACATCAAATTAAAGAGGGATCTCTGGTCAGGTTGGTACACTTCTATTTGTATCCTTTATTGTTTTTTTCTGACAATGGAAATTCTACTAAAAATAACGAAATTTATGGAATGGCGGAATTATATCAGATTAGTTCTTCCTAGTAAAACAACAAAAAATAAAACAAAGGAATTGAGAATGACGTAATTATATGAAAACTGCAAAGTTTTCTGCTCCTGATAGCACTTTAACTAATCCTATGATCTTGTTGAGACACACTTGAGAGATCAATTATTGAAGCATTTATTTTGCTGTTCTCACCATATGTCAGAGGAGATTTGGTTTCCTTGATCCAAGAATTTTTATTTCTTTAATATTCATCTTCCCTGTCGTGCCCTTCGGACAGACTATGGACAAAACTTGAAGTTTTCTAATCTCTTCACTGTTGGCAAAGAAAAAGGAGCTACGTTAGAAAAGTCCTACTACAACTTGTTTGGTGAAGCAATTGACAAATGAATGTATACATTCAGCAAAGCTGAGCCAACAAGGAAATAAACAATAACTTTGTTTTTTTTTGTATCATTAGTCAAAGGCTTAGAAACTTACATAGATCGTACAAGGAAGAAAGCAAAGTCAAGCCAAAAAAGAGATCAGATTTTATAGTTGAGGCTTTCAGCAACTACTATTAGAGTACCAATATGCTTTACTGGGTGGGAAAATATAAATATAAAAGCCATAAAGTTACATGAAGTAATATTCATCAAAAGCACTTTGTCTGCTTCCTTCACATCAACAATAATCCTTCTTTACAGCTTGAACCTTGTAGGGTAATATACGACAATAGAAGATTCCATTTGATTTTCCTTACTTCTTGTCCTTCGTGTTATGCAAGCCCTTTTTTGTCATTTTCCTACTCTTGTCAATATTTGTGCTCCACTGACATTATTGGTTTTCTGCAAACAACTAAATACATGGTTCATGGACCTAAATCAATACGATTGGAATAAATGGCTTCAATGCTTTATAAGTTAAAAAAGCACCATGTTCCAAAGAGCTAGCTTCATCAAGTTTAAAGTGATCTTCCACGAACATACCTGGGATCGATCCCCTTAAATGTCTTTTGGGTCGAGCTTGTCGTATAGGGCTTGCCTAGTGTGATTTGCAGGCTATTAAACAATGGGGAGCTTGTTGCGGAAGCCAAATGTATATAGTGTGAATAAGTCACAACTACTATACCAAAATTATGA